GTAATCCTGACTTCATTGTCTTCTCTCCCTCACTGTGGGTTAGGATCATGGCAGGAGCATTGGCACAGAGTTGCTGAGACCTATTGTAGTCACAGTAAAGCCTTGCAGAGGTTTTGCCCAAGCAAATATGCTGCATATTCATGTCATATTTACCACTGTGTAACTTTGCTGCTGTATGTGAATTTGATCTTCATTGTTTGCTTCTTGTCTCTTTGGACATTTTGTATTTTTGAGAGGAAGTCCTTACTTTGACTTGTTCCCAGGTATTGAGTTGCCCTTCTTTTAATGTGTAATAATATCTTTCATTATTATAAACTAAAAAAAAATTTTTTTTAGTCTTCTGTTGTTAGGAGGTTGAATGAGTTGTTTTTGGCCTGGGTTTATTTTCTAGTCTAGTAAAGTGTTTTCTAAATAATAAGTTCTAAACCAGTGGCTGCAAAGTTGTTAGAGCTTCTTGTATACTCCTTGCCTTTTTCTGGCAGTAGTGACTTACACACTGACCATTTCCTGGCAGCTTTCATCTACTCTTACTTTCTTCTCTGTATTCACTACATGCAAGTTATGGCTCCTGTACACAGATCCAAGGGTTTGATGCTTCTCCTGTGTGAAACAGAAGGATGCAAAGGGAAAAGACAAACACATCTCTGTGGGAATTGATTTATGCAGGGGATACCTGTGATTAAGCTCCCTACCCACTGGATGTCACTATTGTTCCACAGAAATTCATCCATGGAATATTTATCTAGCATTGAGGGTTGACAGCAAAGACCATTTGCTTGCAGCAAACTGAAAATTTCTAATTGTATTTGCAGGAATATTGTACATTTATGTTCATTTTGCAATTGAATTTTATATGAAGATTCACCATTTTATCGTAATAAGAAAAGAGAGCTTTGCCAAACCTTCAGCTCTGATGACTCTGGAAGTGCAGATAGTGAGTCATGAAAACCAGCCAAGAGAGAAGCTTGCAGCCATTATACTCAAGCCACTTGTTCTCATTATTATTCTCTTACTCTGCAGTTGCTGGAGGTGATCTCAACATAGTGAATGAACATTACCAGTCTCCTCAAATTTGCTTAGTACATTAGTTATTTTCTTTCCCCAAAGATGTGCGTTCTATGTAGTGTGTTACTGTGAAATGGCACTTGAATATTCCAAGAGATGGTTCTCTGAGAGGCCAAGCAATCCCCTGGTGAGGAGGGATCTGGCTGTGAGGGGCTGGGTTACACTGCCAGTACTCAGCCTCTGTGTAATCCAGCAAATTACCCCAAATCTCTCATGTCTGTTTGCCATGATCTTTGTGTCTCACAGAGAAAGTCCTGGCCACCCTTAGAATTTTTGGGGTGCTACAGTAAAATGAAGCAGTCTGGTGACTCCACCTAACATTTGTCTCAGCATTGTCTAAATACATGTAGATGCCAACCCAGTGAAAATGACAATGGGCTTGGAAGAGTCCTGCACTTTGTATGCAGCTTGAAAAGCCCTGGTCCTCAGTGGTAGCCCCAGAACACCATACATGTCCCAGGAAAAGGAATAGTAAATGACTAAAAATCCCAAAAATGTACAGGGGAAAAAAAAAATTACAAACATCTTCAAGACCCATTGCTGCTCTCCTAAAATTGGAATATGTTGGTGGTATCAGCTCCATTAAAGAGGAGCCAAGTCATTGGAGGCATTCAGCCACATCTCCTTCCTCAGCTTAGTGCCTAAAATGCTTGTGTGAAGGCTCACAGGTTTGTGAGAGGCACGATAGCTGCTGTGGCTCTTTGACATCCTCTGAAGACTGCTTGGCATCACCCCTGTGAGGTTTTAACAGTTTTTTGAGACTGGCACCAAACTATCCAAAAACCAAGACAAAGTGGGATCAAGATTTTAGATACTGGAGAGAAGCAAAGGAGAAATTTTTTTGCTAGAACCTTTGAGGCTTCAGCACTTGATTTGTATGCAGGAGAGGGGCAGCCTTTCATGGGGACTGAGAGTTGCTCAGCTAAGACCAAGTCATTCCCAGCAGATTGTTAGAATTTGTGGCTGATGGCCTTGCTACCCAAACCAATTCACTTCTGGAGTGTTGCATTTGACAGTGGTGATGCTCAGTTTAGCTAAGTTCATGTGGGTTTTGCCTGCATGAAAACATGGAGTTCATGATGTGTTTTAACGTGCTGTGGAGCTGGTTCAAAATGTTTTCTAAGCCATGGGCACCAGAGTAGGATTGAAAACCTTGGCTCACAGGACTTGGGCTGTGCACAAGGTGCAGAGAGTTACACTGGGTGTTTTTTGTGTATGGACAGCCAGTGGCTGTATTGTCAATGACAATGGCAACACACTGACTCACATGTTTGGAGATACCTGAGGCTGGAGTTCTCAGGCAGTGAATGATTGATCTGAGCATGGCTGTGCATGAATACAGGTGAGAGATTTTTACTGTATTTTTGTTATCCACCCATGATTAATGGCAGACTGGCCTTATTTCCTTCTTCATGCCTGTAATTGATTATTCAAAGGGAGCTGGTGATGGTTTTACAGGTATCACTTTCTGAAGGAGTTTGTGGATTGGTTCTTGCTAAGTAATTATGTTTAGAACAAGGCATTAAAGAAATACTAAGCATATTAAGTCCAACTCAATTAATGACAACTCCCAGAATCACAGTCCATTAAGAGGTTTTAGAAGATGTATTGAATATTTTTGAATAACAAAAATTCTAAAATAATAGTATGAAATTATTTTCTGATTGCAATTAGCATTGCTAAAATGAAATATAAAAATTTAATTTTATTTTTACGTGTATTTATATTTGTACACACACACACATGTGTGTGCGTGCGTGCGTGTGTGTGTGTGTATGTCTTATGTATGTATATATGAACATCCATATGTTTTGGGCCAAATCTCTTGTGTTTTGGCTGTGCCTAATGTTAGTCACCACTGCAGAGATGAAAGACTCCAAAGTACAGGGATGGTTCTTAACATGAAGTTTATAGCAAACTCTAATGCTTCAGTACAGAGATAACCAAGACATGCTGGTAGAAAACTGAATCCTATAGTAGCTAGGATAATTAAATGTGTATTGACTTTTTAATAGCAACTTCCAAGGTACAGCTGAGGTGCAGCTCTGCTGTGCTGCTGAAGTGTCTCAAGCACTGGCACTGTTAATGGTGTGGGGTCCTGGTACTCAGGGAAATGGGTCTCTTGCAGGGCTCGGTACAGGCTGCAGCTTCCGTCCTCAGCTGTTTCCTCACTACAGTCCTCGAAAATGAGAATGTTTTCATTCCATCAAAAAAAACCCAGCCCAAACCCTTTCAAGTGCATTAGTTCTTTTAAGAGATGTTTCTAGCTTTGTTTTGATTGTATCGAGTATGTTTCAAGGTGATTTGCTGTGATTGGGTTTTTTCAGTAACAATTCAGGAGAGCCTTCTGTTAAGGGTTTGCTTTTTCTAATCTGCTGCAGTGAAACTGCCTTGTAGAAATATTGCATCCCAAGTTATTGAAGATGTGCAGTTTAAAAAGCCAAATCAAGTTGCAAAATGGAGATAATTAAATTAATGACTTCTGTAAAGGTGCTGCTGTATTATTTCATACCCTCCCTTCCTGATAATCAAAATAAGAGGTATGATTTATTTGCAGATATGGGAGATATTATATTCTTCTGCAAAATACATGATTTTTGGGAGGAGGAAGGCAGGGAACAGCTGGGTTACAAATCTGTATTTTGCCCAGAACCACTGGTCTATGACCAGACATTAAAATTGAGTATCTGTGAATTCTGTAATGTCATTAGGGTTTTGGTGAGAGAGGAAAATGATTTGTCACTGATTTGTGTAAAAGGATTTTTGGGTGTACTCCTCTCACATCAGTGAGTAAACAGTTTTCTCTGAAAGCTCTTTGCAGCTGTATGTCTAAAATGCACAGTGTTTGGCATTTTAAATGATGAAGCTTTATTTGATTATTAGAAGGATACTCTGCAAAACATAGCACACAACCTTAGCAAACCTAGCCCAGCCAATAAACAGAAATAGAAGAAAATGATGGATTTTAATGGTTTCCTCAGCTACATTAATGCCTTTGACAGTCCTGAAAAGAGAATTCCTAATGAGAGCTGAAACAAATGTGTGCAGGAAGTGGTCTTGCTTTTGCTGCTGCACATTTGAGTTCCTCTAATTGCATCAATAAGGAATTTCTGCTTCTCATCTAATGAATGCCTTTTGACTGTTTTCTGAAAGGCAATTGGATATAGGGATAAACACTGGCACCTTTTGTATGAAGTCACGTAAACAGGTTTCAATTGCTAGCTATTGGCCCTAGAAACATTGTGGTATAATGCAGTACAGTAAATACTACTGTACCTTTTTATTTTAAATTTTTTTATTAAGCCTAGGTTTCCCTCTGTTTTGCCTCTGGTGGGATACTTAAGAGTGCTTTTTAGTCTCTCTTTTTAGTGCTCTTTAGTCTCTCTGCTGTGTTGGGCAGCAATCAGGAATTTTTTCAGAGCTATTCCTGCACCATCTCTATCTTCAGACAACTCAGAATTCATATGATACTACAGTACCTGGATCTTTGCTTCCTTCTGGGCTCAAAAAGTGAGTTTTAGAGCAAGGACTGGAGTTAGGGAGGCAGAGGGGGACAGCCTGAGTTTGATTTTTTTATCATTGTTGTAATTTTTCTCCCTAAACAGAGGCACAGTTGGTGCAGGTGCAGTGGATTACTTATGAAAGAAGTTTTCTATTTAAAAACAAGAGAGACTTTAATGAGATCAGTAGAGAGTTTGTACAATAGGTATTGTATTAAACCAGAGCTCAGGCTTCACATTGATTGCGGTATTTAAATTTCAATGAGTTGATTATGTATGAGAGTAAAATGACCAGTATTATGAATGTACAAAAAAGGGACATGGAAGAGCTGTGCCAGAAAAGTGAGAAAAACGTTCCCTTTATAGTCCCTAGAGTTCAATAAAGCACCACTATTTCCCAGCTTTTAAAAGCTCTTTTATCACAATGGTTCATACCTCGCATTCCCTGGAGCCTGATTTGTTATACGTGCAGGGTCCTGTTCCATTCAGCAGCATCTCACTGGTTTCAGTGTTGGTAGGTTTGTAATCTACATAAAATTCCTGTGTACTTGGAGTCATTTGCTTCAGCGACTGTCTTTTCTTTTTCCTGTGCCTTCGCATGAGAGAGCGCTGCTGCAGCTGCTTCATGCTGGCAGGGTACCGCTTCCATGACACATAGATCACCAGCAGGATCACCAGCACCGACAGGAACAGAGCCACGCTGCCTGCTATGATTTTATGGAAGGAGATGTGCTCTGTGTCGTGCTCGGGCTCAGAGCTGGCTTCAGTGGCTCCCATGGTTGGGGGCAGAGGGGGCTTGCTGTCGTGTTTAGGCCTGGTGAGTTTTGGTTTAAACGTTGGCTTTGGGAGAGCTCGTGCTAGTTCAAACCTTTCTGTGGTGCTCTTGCCACAGATGCTGTAGTTTTTCACTGCATCAATAACATTCACCCCTTGCAGCTCTTTGGGGCTGGCACAAATAATTGTATTTTCCCTCAGCCCTTTAAAACTCTTTAGCCAGTTTACCAGAGAGCAAATGTTTCTGCTGCATTCCCATATATTCCCAGCAAGGCTGATGTCATTGAGAGATATCCAGGAATCCAAAATTTCTTGACCAATAAATGTGAGCTTGTTTGAATCCAGGTTGAGGCGCTGTAAATTTGGCACACACTGAAAAACACTAGGTCCACTGAAAGCTTCTATTTCATTGCCAGATAAATCAAGTCTTTGTAATGAGCTCCAGGTCCAGGACATAGTTTGTCCTATCACACTGATTTTATTCCACTGTAAATAAAGGTTTTGAAGACTGACTAGCCTTGGAAAAAGTGCCAGGTTGAGCTTAGAAAATTGATTGTGCTCCAGATGAAGCTCTTTCAGTCTGATCATACCTGCAAAGACATTCCTTGCTAAACTCCGGATGCGATTATAACCCAGGTCCAACAGTTCAAGGTTCCTACAATCTTGAAATATTCGAACAGGGATGGTTCTTAGGGAATTGGACCGCAAATGTAAACTCAGCAGCTTCCTTAAGCCCCTGAACTGTTCAGATCCCAGAGACTGCAGCTGATTGTATGACAGATCCAAATTCCGGAGATTTGTCACAGGTCTGAAGGTATTATTAAGAAAATAGGAGATTCTGTTGGAACTCAAGATCAACTCTTTTAGTCTGCGTATTCCACTGAAAGCATTTTCGTCAATATTGCTGATGTGGTTATGGTCTAAATAGAGCCAGGTGAGTTGATTAAGACCTTTAAACTGATTGTATTTTAGTTTTTGGAGGCTGTTATATCGAAGGGACAAACCTAAACAACCAGCAGATATACTTGAGGGAATCTCCTGCAATTTCTGAGATTCACAATATACCATTTTGCCTTCACACCTACAGCCCTTAGGGCATCCTCGTTCAGCAGAAGAAAGCATTGTCAGTAATACAGTAGGGGCTATTACCAGAGCTACAGCTGATCCGCTCAGTAGCCTAATTACATTGAAACCTGGAAATAAAAACAACTTAGAAAAGTTATCCCCCCACACATCAGTCATTTTTTTTCAATCATGCTAAAATCTCTTACTTCAGCAATCATTTACAAAGCCCTAGCTTGACTCGACTACTTTTCACATTGGGTTTTTTTTTAAACTCAGCTATTTTTTTTTTTTTGTTGTTGTTTTAAGCATACCTCGATATAAGTACTGAAAAACAGTTGGGTAAAAGGTGTAATCCCTAAGCCATTTAAGTATAATAACAAATCACATCAAGGTAAGTTTATGGAGTAATTAAAGCACAGGCTATGCAGTAACTATGAACTATAAATTAAAAAGGTAACATGAAAAACATACCCATCCTTTGTGTTGTTCAAAGGTCGTCCTTAGGTCTTTTGTTTTTTGCTTAGTGTGCCACAAGCATGGCAGCCCCTGTCAGCTGCACTGTAGTGAGTCAGGGCTCGCTGACACCCAGGAAGAAAAATTGGACCCCTTGGGAGAAGGACCGATTTTGGAACATTATTCTTTGCCAGCCGTGCAGAACACTCCAAGAATAAATCAATCCCAACACAGCATTCGCAGCAAAACATCAAATTCTTCCTAGGTAATAGGATCTTCATGGACATGACGGTTTTGCATGGTTGTGGCTAGAAGCGGGCTGCTGGCAGGCTGCAGTGCAGCGGGGCATGCCGCCGGCGCTGCCCGCCCCGGGCCCGCGGCTCGCTGCCGGCCGGGCCAGCCGCGGGGAGCCGGGCCCGGGCCGCGCCGCCGCTCGCATGCCGACAGCTCCGGCCGGCTGGGGCGGGCTGTGCCGGGCGCAGCCTTATGTAAAGCTGCCCCCAGCGGCGGCAGCACCGCGGGCATGTGCAGTGCCGCCTCCCCTCGCTAATGGGCGAGCTCTCCCGGCAGAGCGGGCGCTGCTCGCTGCGCGCTGCCGAGGGGTGCCGGGCTGCCCCGACCCTCTCTGCGTGCTCCTCGGAGCTGCCTGCATCCCCGAGCTTAAGAGCTCAGCGGCAGCTGCTGAGACTCTCGTCTTAGGGGCTGACGCGATGTTTGTAGGACATAAACATTTTTGGTCGGAAAGATTTTTTTTTTTCTTACTGCATTAGACGTATTCACATAACCTTTTTGCAGCCACTCACTATTTTTCAGTGAAGTATCAGACTCCTCAGTGTGTCTCTTCCCAAGTGCTTTAGAGTGGACTCAATTTTTTACAGTGTGAAAAATGTTTTTGGGGTTGACATTTTCCATTTTTGCTTTTTTCTTCTCTGTGTTAAAAGGCTCAGTGCCAGGAGGTTAGAAGAGAGTACTGTGTTCATTTATTTCCCAACTTGCTGTCACTTTGTTCCACAACACTAACACTTCAACCACTGGCTTCCAGAACCTTTACAACATAGCGACTAAGCAGCTTGGTGTAGTACCGTAATGAGGTGAATTGTTTTTATTGTCTTTCAGGACATGGACAGGATTTTATGTGAAGGTACAATAATGCTGAGCTTTTTATATGTGTGATGCTCTACAGTTGTCAGATACTACCAAGAGAGCCACCTTGTCTCCTTAATTTTCCCTTCTCTGCATGCTGTGGGGAAAGAACACATCCTCTCATCTGGGCAGAGCAAGGGTAAGATGGTGTTACAGCAAATCCACCATGCTGGCAGCCTTCCTAAATATGTGATCACAGATGATGGTGGGCAAGTGGAAAATCCTGGCTCTTTTTTGTGTAAGGATGGGCAGGGAGCTGGAAAGAATTGTACTGCTCCTTAGAAGAGGAGTGCAGAGTGCAGTCCTCAAAGGCAGCCAGACAGTGCTGAGAACTGCCTTGCCTTTCTGGGGGAGAATCCTGACCCTTGGAATAATGTGCTCTGGCTTTTCCCTAATTAGTCACTGCTGTGAGAATAGGTGAACTTAAACTGAGGTGAAACCTAAAATTTTCCAGGCATTAAAATGCCACCTTTGCTAGTACTTAGGCTGTGAATGACCTCAGTAATCCTCCCACAAGTATTAATGCACCAAACCAGAGTTCCCAAATGAGGAGTATAGTCATTCCTGGCTAACAGCTACTAACATCTTTCATGTCAGAATTATATTCCTGCATTGTGGCACATTCTGTGAGAATTCTTCTCTTTGGGGCAGATTGGTGGAGAGGGAGAGGGCTAATTGCTCCATTAATCTCTGCCAGTGTCACCATCTCCCATGCTCTGCTACAGCTTGTTCGGGGCTCTGCAGTCTGGTCTGTAGGGTTGAGGAGCAGTGACAAACTGCAGAGTGCAGTGGGAGCTGAGCTCTTCTGCTGACAACAGTGTCATGTGCCAGTCTGGTGTACTGGTACAGGCTTTCCATCACTGCCTTGGGGTGTCTCTGTTCTTGATGGAGCAGGAAGAAGACAGTTCAGACCTTTGGTAAGTCAATTTGCCTTTTGGAACTGCTGCTCTTCCTCTGTTGACAGTAGATGTCTGTGAGAGGTAAACTGTTTATTGAAATGACTCTTTTAGGTTCCTAAACTTAAATGGCCTGAAATTAGGTCTGACTCTTCACCTGGTTCAAATACAGCATGCAAAATTTCTAATAACATCCGGATCCTTTCTCCTGAATATTTGGTGCAACTTAGTGTACAATCAGCACTCAGCCTTCTTCTCAAACTTAGCCTGTTCTCTGGCTTTTCCTTTTTGTTTCTTTCCCTCCTCCATCTTGGTTATGGAATTAACAAGTAAGTTCTTGGCCACCATGAATCAGCAGACCTTCAGCAGCTTTCCTAGGATTTTAATAATTGCCAATATACTGGACTAATAAGAGGGAACAGCCACTCTTTACCAAGAGTTATTTTCATTTTTCTGAAAGGGGTGAGACATCAAGATACGAACAGAGAGAGCATCAAATCTATGTTAATGGATTGCCAAATTGAATTTTCTTTACTGAGATCCTTTTTGAATTACACAAGCAGGAAAAGTGCCAGGGTTTTTTAAAATTACCTTTCTGTATCTTTATACAGCAGAATAAGTTCTTCTCCAGTTGTGAAAATAAAGCTCCCATATTAAAATAAAACAGATGCCGGTATGAAACATTTCTTATAAAATTTCAGGTCAATCTGGCCATATAAACGATGACAAATAGAGAATGAAGTTAAAGCTGTGTTTTACATAAGAAGATACCTTTGCCTTGTGTCAGCTACACCTTGTCTATCAGTGCACCCCTGTGGGATAACCATTCAACTCAGGGAACTGGGAAACGAGACCTTGAGGCCCAAGTGGTTGGCTTCTCTTTTGGGTGAGCTATGGATAGCTTCCCTTAGAACTAATCTCGTAACTCCTAAGTGCCCAAAACCCAGGAGTTTTCTGATGCCTTGATGTGAATTTAGCTTGTGCTCTGTGTCAGTTCGTGCATCCATTGTGCAGGACAGCTGCTGTGGGCTCCCCTCTGTATCACTGCCAGGCAGCCCTGCCTCCTGTCCAGTCCCGGAGCAGCAGTTCCCAGGAGGAGCCAGAGCCAGAAGGTGCAAGTGACCCAAGTCCTGGTGACTTCACGCTGACTGAACTTCCTCTTGTGCTCAGGAACAACGTTATTCCATCTGCCTGACAGAGAAGTATTTTAGCCTGTTCTGCAAAGAAACCTCTTAAGAGAAGTATTTTATTTATTTGTGTAGTCTTGAACACAAAGTTCAAGTCTGTGTTTTGGGGTTTCAGCCTAAACATAAACTGAAATACCACAGAACCTGAGATGCTTTTGAGTTTTGAGTTTTATGTCTCCACGACCACTCTAATTTTTTTTCCTGGGCTTTTTCTGAGGAGAAAATGGCATAGATCAGGAAACACACTGGCAAATGTGTTACTAGATATGTCTTAACATCCATCCAGTTGAAAAGAGATGTGTTGGGCACAGCCTGTGATGAACACATAATTTTCTTTGTCTACACAACAGAGAAGTTCAAAGTTGTTTGGAAATTATGCACCATGCTAAGGTAGTGATAGTCCATATTTTTCTCTTGGTGCTAAACTTTCAGTAGGTTTTTTATCTGTGTATTGTTCTAGATTAATTTTACTGCTATCTATTTTTGCACTAATTTGCTTCAATTTAATTTCGTGTTTGTTTTTGGGTTTTCTTAGGTGGTTAAATTATAGTGTATTTTCTTTTTCCATTAATTCTGGCTGAGTTCTCTGTGCCTGGATGCAACTTCCCTATGGAAAGCTTTGTATGAACTGCAGCCAAAATAGTAAATGGTGAAAGGTGGCATTCACTGTGAAAGCCTGTTCCTCCACAGAGCTGGCTTGGAATTGAAACTTTGCAAAGAGCAAAAGGAAATCAGCATATCACGCATTTTTTTAGGATTATGAGAAGGCACCTGTAATATCCAGGTACATCTGTTTGCTAAGTACATTTGAAAAGGAGGGGGTGACAGGGAAGGGATGCAAACTTCCCAGAGTGTAAGAAACCAGGTGCTGGTGGGATTCCATGCAAACCTTCCCCTGTTCTGTCACATGATTCACCTTAGCCTTCCTCAGGTTATTCTGTGCTTGCTCTTTAAAATCCATTTAAAGATGATGTTACAGAGAAGAAAAAAGAAAAAAAAAATGATAGGTTTTCGTTACTCCTGTGAGAAGTACATTCAGGAATGCAGTCTGAGCTTTTCTAGACACAGGGCATTATATTCATAGAGCACAAAGTTTGGAATTCAGACTAGACCAGAATACAGCTTTTTTTCTGCTCACACACAGAACTCTCGGGTCTGGGAGTGCCTTTATGTGTGAATCACACATCCCTTTGGGGACCTGTAGTTAGCAAGTGCCGCACTGTGTTCTTTTTGGGTTTATGAAGTGACACAGTGTGTCGTTCCCTTGGCTTTATTCCTCTATAAAGGAGCCAGGAGTCAGCCGGGTTAGCAGTAGTAGCTTGCTCTAAATGGTGCTGTAGTGTGCTATCGCTGTATCGTTAGGAGAGATAAGTCTAATAAAATGTGTCTGCAATTTTTGAGGCGGTGATTAAATGAACCTGCTGTTCCATGAGGATCAGATTAGAGCTGGGGGCGTGTAACTCCCAGTGTAAATACCAGAGCGTGGGACGCACAGGAAAACTCAGGATGCAGTGCTGGCTGAAGGCAGACATGAGGAGAGGGAAGTGTGAGAAAGCCATGCTCAAGGAACATGCAGGCAAGGGAAATCGAGGCAACAGAAAATGTTCTGAAGAAGTAGAAAAAGAGGACCGAGACTGGAGTGGATCTTATCCCAGGAGCTGAACTACACTGCCCTAAAGGACCGTGGTGGTCAATGGTCGATGAGCGAGATGGATAAAATACTCCTTTGCTCTTCTGCTGGGCAGTATTGTTTTGCAAGGCCTGCCCCAGCTCTGTGAGGTTGTTACACACACCCAGAATCTGGAGAGTGTAGGACCCGTGCTCTGCTCTGGGAGTCAGTGTGCCCTGTAATGTGGGATGGCTTGCAGACACACCAGGGACACATGTGCCAGGTTGTGTGCCCGAGGGTCCCTCAGTGCCTTGGCACAGGGCCACACAAAGGAAGCTTTTCCAGCTGGGCACTTCTGGTTAAGTCTTCCCATTGTGGACAGGTCACAGGGGCCTCTGCACTGCCCTGCGGGAGGGGAGGGGAGGGTGTACACAAACCTTTGTTCACAGCATCCACTGCCTGCATGTTTTGTGAGCAATCAAAAGTCCTTTAGCCAGAATGAGGCACTGTTCCCAGGCTGGCTTTTTGTCCTGTGATTTTGAAGCTGTTTGAGGGTGAAAGGAATGAGGGGCTTGTCTTTACAAACAAACTGTGGGTGTGCTAGTAGATAAAAGTAG